GCTCCAGCGCAGCGAAAAGGAGAGCAGGAGCTCCCGAAAAGGAGGTCGAGCCCCGTCCCGTGCTCCCCTGGCAGGAGGCGGCTGGGGGAGAAGGGGCCGCGCGCAGCTGGGGGTCCCGCACAGCCGCCACCTGCCGTGGAAGGCGGGGAGGCTGTGAGGAGAGAATCAGCAAATCTGGGTAGACGGACAAAAAAGGGGATCTCCTGTAGCGTACAGGACACGTCTGTGACCTGAGATCAGGTCAGTGCTGCATTCCAGCATTTGCTGTGGATTGCATCCCACTGCAATCCCAGCTGCAATGATTTAGCCTATAACAATTGACTTTTATGCAGTTTATTTTCTGTGAATGTGTAATTTATTTTGATTTAGGGAAAATATTTCTGAACCCTCACACTGTCCTGTTCAATATAACTTCATCTGGAAAGAGAGGAAACAATTACAGCCGTGCTAGAAAAATTAAGCCATGCAATTTTGAACTGGCTAAAATGTTATTTAAAACTCACTTGACTGTGAGGAGAAAGATAAGATGTTTTACCCCAAAGAAGAATCACAGGCACAGCAGGGCAGACTGCCAGTCTATGTTTTCCTTTTCCAGACAAGAGTTTGTTTACCAGTAAAAACTCGACAAAAACTGACACTACTTAAAGTTTTGAGTTGCTGCTCAAAATACCTTGCACAGTGGCACAGTGTTAATCTCGCCTCTGTGTGAAGCAGGATTTATAGGTTCCACAGAGTCCCAAACTTTGCTCTTCAAAAACACCATGGCTCCCAGCTCCAGTCCCTCACCAGCCCTGCTGAGCGCTATATAGAACCTGCCTGACGCCTTTGGCACCTGTGCTGTGGGTGCTCACCGTGCTGCTGACCCAAAACGAGTGCCAGGTTTTCCTTATCAGCACAGTTATGTTTAGGTTTCCTTGCCTTTTGTCAAATATAACATCTCATTGATACTTCATATGAAGAAATATGTGCAAAAATAGCATATGTGTATATATATATCTGCCAGAATCTGTTGGTTTGAGCAAGCTGCAGCTCAGTGAAAGTCTGAATAAAATATCCTCGTGAAATGCCTGTGAGTGCCAACATTAAAAGCCCAAAGCCTTTGCTGGTATTGAGGGATTAAACACCCACCAGAACTGCAGATTTTTCTCACCACCATTGGGGGACCAATCCTCCACCTTGCAAATGAAGAGCCAGAACTGCTAAACCTCTGTTAGGTGTCCATGTGGCTGATGAGCGTGTTAACTTCAGCCTCTAAGGTTCCTAAGCACTGACTTAGCATTATGGGTCTCACTTTCCCTTTTTTTTTTTTTTTTTGCCTTCTCGCTTTCCTCATTGAAATGCTCTGTACGTAGGTTACTTAATGTTTGAAAAATATATAAACATACTTTTGCAGTATTTTCAAATGTAAACTTTTTAGTAAGATTCACTTATCCCAGAGGTCAGAGGGGATTTGTCTGCTTTTACCAATAAATTTCACTTGTGCCAACACAGAACATGTTACAGCTACAATCAGTCTTTTAAAAGCTGTAATTCACTTCTCTAAGTGGAAGTGTATGAATAGCTGAAGCTTGTATATATACAAAAAATGGAATCACAGTGTCATTGTTTAATCTTCTTGGTGCTTAGGGATTTTTTAGAGCAACAATGTTTATTTAGCAGAACACCTGTTGAAAAAATGAAGAACATAAAATCCTGAATAAGTAGACGTGTTTGGATAAGAATTTGGTTATGAAAGCCTGAGCTTGCATTGGTCAGATTTACCCACTGTTTTGACACAGTTTACCTCTCAGTAAGCGCACAGCAGGACCCAGGGTCACAGTGCACCTGAAGTGGGACACTTTAATACCTCAACAATTCCCTTGAGCCAGGCATTAGCTGAGAGGTTAATTCAGAGAAAGATTCTGCATCTCCATACTTTCCTTCAGCAAGACTTTCTTTACTCTTCCCACCACTTTCAAGATTCAGAACTTGGATTTTTGTCTACCTTTTACAACTGTTAATACTACAACAGCATTCTGTTATAAAAGACAAGAAGGCAGATGAGGGGAGTAGGACATTTTAGATTGTTTAAAAAACATATTTTTTACATTCATGAACCAAAACCCTATATTCAAACAGCGAGAGGATATGGAGAAAGGCACTGGAACGGTTTGGTCTAAGATACATTTACAGCAGATGACCACAGGGGAGAGCTAATGTGAGCCCCACGATCTGAGCAGTGTATATACAGGCTTCTTGTTTTACACGGAATGTGTGGGCTTTGCAAGAGGAGCACTAGTGCTAGTAAGGGTGGTGATTTCTGTGGCTAGTAATACCTAGTATGTTTTAAAAGCGTGCATTCCTGTGAAACTCAGACTTGTGCTGCTTGGAGTATGTTTTAAAAGCGTGCATTCCTGTAAAAAAAGTCAGACTTGTGCTGCTTGTCACATGAACAATGTAAATGAGAGGGCCCCAGAAACCATTGCTTAACGTGGCTGTTAAGGCCATGAGGATCTTCAAGCCACGCTGGCTGTGGTGCTGGTACCATCACGCCAGGGAAGACACACGTTGTCCCCATGGCTGTGGCACAGGCTGCAGGTGGGCTCTTTGGGGCGTGCTGCAGGGAGTACAGCATGTGCTGCTGCTTTTCAGCATTCTGGAAATTAGCTTTTTATTTGATGATTACTGGAAAGGACTCACATGTTTTCAGTAGGAAAGTGAATTATTTCATAAATGAAAATTGAACAAAACAGTTTCTACCAAAAGAAGACATGTAATGTCAGGAGGCTTCCAATCAAAGACAGGGAACTTTTTTCACAGCATTAAATCTTATTGGTTCTAGTCCTGAGTTACTTGAGTAATATCCTCTCTCTCTCTCTTTTTTTTTTTAATAGTTTAGGATAGAGCTTTAATACACCGGAATTTGTATGGAAACCAAATTGCCACTTTATGTGCTTGAAATTTGAAAGGGGGATTTTTAAAAACTCCTGAAGAATTTAGTTACCTGACTTTTTCTGTAAGCTTACATCTGAACTTTCCTTCGGGGGTTTCTTGTGTTTTACTATTAAAAAAAAAAAACTTTTTTAGGACAAAACCAACTTAGCATCAGGAATGCATAACTTCTGCGAGGAACTTAATTAAATGGAAGATTGGAAATCTGAATCCTCTTGCTACCTTTGAAAAAAAATCTTCCTGACTTATTGTAGTTGTAAAATTCAGCAAACTCAGATAAACTGAAATGTTTATAATTGTCACCCGAATGTGAGTCCAATAGATGGCGATGTTGGATCTCCAATGTGGGGATCCCCGTGTCTTTCCTTCTAAATATAATCCAGTTCTTACTGAAATCAGTGCTGAAGTTCCCACTTAGTACAGTAGTGGAGGATTGGACTCAGACGTCTAATTGAAGAGGGATGATCTGTTCCAAAACTACCTCAGGATACAGAGCATATGCTAAATTTAGTTTCGGGGCAGATTTTTTTTCTGATCTTCAAAGTGAGCAGCCCAAAAGCTCAACAAATCAAGCAAAGAAAAAATAATTACCATTTTCCAGAGGTCATGAAGAGTTCAGATTCTTTGCTAGAGTTAAACATTTGCACACAAGTCTCAGTGGAATCAAATTATTGTGTTTCCCAAAGAACATTTTAAAGGAAATTGTGAAATAGGCAATTAAAGACTTTTTAATCGCAGCTATAAATTAAAGTTTTATCACGTCCGCTTTTCAGTTTGACTTATCAAAAAAATTGGGAGGGTTATTACTTTTAAAATTCCATGCTCTTTTTCTCTGGATCTTGGATAGAGCCTTATAAAGAGCATGGGAATTAAAAGAGAGCATGTTCTTTGCTGGTCAAGCTAAAATGTTTTGAAATAAGAAATTTCCAGTACTAGCACAGATTTCCTCTCCCTGTCACCTTCCAGCCATTTGAAAGACCCTGAACCAGTACTTTTGCACAGAAGTGCCTAATATGATTAATGATTTTCTCAAAGGTAAAGACAGAAAAATAAAAGCATATGAAA